GGATCGGGTTGGGGGGGGGGGGGGGCGGCTCTGCAACTTACCTGGCTGCTTCTTGCTCCTTGTTGCTCGATCTGCTGGGGGCAGGGGGTGGGGCTTGTTGCATGTGCCCGCCCCCTGGGCTCTTTACTGCCAGAGCTCCGCTCCTGTGCGCTCCTGCAGGAAATGACCCCTGGTTGCCAGCAAAGGAGGAACTGTATTGCCATCTTGGATTGGTTTAATTTACTGTTTCTGTTGTAGTTCTTAATTATCCATTAATTGTATTTTTAAATGTTTTACAGGGTTGTACATTGCCCAGACCCTGCTTGCAGGGTGGGCGATTCATAAGTCCAATGAAATAAATAAAAAAACCCAGTACTGGCATGCAAACCAATATTTATTTGCCGATGTGTATCTTCCAGTCTTTCACCGTGCCCTTCTGTGTTGATGACTTGCATAAATATAACACCCCAACTGAAACAGCACAAAACCAATGATAATTTAACAGTTATAACAAAGACAACCTTTTAGAATGAGGGGCTGCTTTTGACCCTTACATTATCTCCTGCTTCCTCCAGAATCACGAAGAAGGCTAGTAACAGATGTCTGTTGTGCGCTCTTCATTTCTCCAAGTGGCAAGAAGGTCCAGGGACTGCATTCTTGCTTGGATATGAATAGGTAGCGCTCAGGTGGAGGTACATATGGGCATTCCTACAGAGCAGCATTAGACCCACCAGAGAGAGCGAAAGAGAGAGAGGGATCCTGAACTCTCTAGGACTGGACTCCTCAACCTTCCTGAGCCCGCAGAAACCTTCGGAAATCTGATGCAGGGTGTTGGACACAACCACAAAATGTCAGAGAGTGAGGTTATGCATACGGCTAATAGGAAGAAGAAGAAGAAGAAGAGATTGGATTTATACTCCACTCTTCACACGGAGTCTCAGAGTGGCTTACAAATGCCTTCCCCTTCCCTTCCCCACAACAGACATCCTGTGAGGTAGGTGGAACTGAGAGAGCTCTTTTGAGAACTGCCCTTTCAAGGACAGCTCTGACAACTATGGCTTGCCCAAGTTCACGCAGCAGCTGCGAATGTCAGCAAGCTGCCAAGTGTTTTTCTGCTTTTACTTTCATGTGCATTCCTTTCCTAGCGCTTAAGTGCTTTGCCGCAGCAACACGTATCTTTCAAGGCCACAGGAGGAGAGCTGCTGGAGACGTTGCTTGGGTTATCCCTCGGATGAGTCATGGGAAGTTTTACCTATTATGCTTATTAGTACCATTAGTTCTCAGGCCTACTGCCGCGCGTGGGAACTCCCGCAATTGGGTCTTGGTGATTTGAATGTACTATATCCTGACATGCTCTTGGGTTACAAGTCATTCCTAACAGCGCTCCTGTCAATGCACCTTTAGCTTCAATAAAAGTAAAACCTTTTTACAAGCGTGTACTTCGTTGTTGCTGTGGGGACCTGACAGAGTGGGGAATCGAACCCGGTTCTCCCAGATTAGAGTCCACACACTTAACCACTACACCAAATCGGCTTCTCAGTAAGTCCTCAACATTTCAGGCAGAAGCTCTGCTTAACAGGATGGCTTTTAAAAATGAATCTATTGTTTAAAATAATTTTTTGCTTGCACACAGTTTACCTAAAGTCACAGCGAGAAAAATTCTTGTCCTGTGGTGGCAGCTGCTGCCAAAGCTCTGTTTTTTAATCTGCTCAGCCAATCAGATCTCCAGTGGCCAATCAGAAGCCCTGCTGGGCAAAAGCCCCACCTGGCCTTTGAAACTACTAGCATGAAAGTACTCGGCAGACAACCAGGAAAAATGTCAGTGAACACTATGGGCACGATCATCCATCCATCCATCCATCCATCCATCCATCCATCCATCCATCCAATCATTCTGTTTGCATCCCACTCTCCCCCACTCTCATGGGGCTCAGAGCAGGTTGCAACACGCAGTAACAAAATTTGAATACAATTAAAACAAACCAATTTCCAAACATTTATAGATTATCAGATGGCACAGAATAACACTATGACAGTGACCTAGGTGAAGAAAAGGGGAGGAAAAGGCAGGAGAGACTGCATAGGTAGGAATTCTCCTGACCTCACCTGTATTTCCATTTCACCCCAGCTCTAGGTAAAAAGTAAAGATTCCCTTGCTCGAAAGCCAGTCGAATCCGACTCTAGGGTTGCGGTGCTCATCTCCGTTTCAAAGCCGAAGAGCCAGCGCTGTCCGAAG